GCACAAAGAATAAGACATTTGAGCACCAAAGTTAATCTAGTTAATGATGTTTGACTTAGTAGTAAAAAATACGAAAATATTATGGATATTATTTAATTGAATAATAAGGAATAAATATTGCATGTAAATCATCAGCATTATATTGATGATTATTACACACTATTGATTATAGTCGTATACTGAAAAAAATATAGGGATTGTTTTTTCGTCGAACATAAGCAATTAAATTTGATTAGTTGATAATGAAATATGTGGATAATCTATAGATAATATAGTTTTAATATGACTTTGTGTAAGATTACATTTTTCAACTGATGCACGTATTCGAAAAGGTAAGCGGCGTGTAGTATTACGTCATTCATGACAGAGATGTCCATGGCGGCGCGGCAGCGGCAGGTTTCTTAAAAACTCATCGCGGCAGCGGCAGAGTTTTTAAAAGCTCATCGCGGCAGCATTTTTTTTCGAGGACATTGAAAAACTGCATGAATTTAATAGAATTTCATTGTTTACAAATGAAACACCCCGAGACTGAATGAATCTGATGGACTAGTACCAATATTTCTGGTCCAATACAGTTGCAGCAGTGAAAGTCAAAACACTTTTTTGAAAACCATCGCGGCAGCGGCAAGTTTATTACTCATCGCGGCGCAGCAGCGGCGCGGTGACTTTTTTTTTATAAACCATCGCGGCGCGGCAGCGGCGGGTAACTTTTTTTTTCTAATGCCGCAGCGCGGCAGCGGCAGAGTTTCAGCCGCGATGGACATCTCTGGTTCATGATAGTGTGCATCTTTAAACATTGAATTAATTAGCGTAGAATTATTGCTTGGAACAGAACCTTGTATTTTATATCGACATAACGGATATTTCCGATATTGACAACATCGATATGAATATTTACCCAGTGAAAAATATTTGTTTCAAAGAACGGAAAAGAACGCATTCTAACAAAAGTGGAAAGCGTTCCAAAATGGAACCATTAAGAACACATTCCATGGTTTGTGGAATGCGTTCTTAACTGTTCCAGTTTTTTTGGAACGCATTCTTGGTCGTTATTGCCTGAATTTAGATTCACTATAAGAGTTCTCGAACAGAAGTTCAAACATAATTTTTTGAAAGATCGATTCTGGTGCAACTCGACGAGCTCTAATTTTTCGTAGCTAAAACTATTTTTAAAAAAATTTTTTTGAAATCAGGACTGTCAGTTGTAAAGTATGACTAATTGAAGGTTCCACCAGTTTCAGGGTGTCGTACTTCAGAGCTGCCATTTTTGAATGAAAAATGACGTTAAATTCAGATGAAAGCGTTCATCAGTCAAAAGAATCCATTCTCAGGTGTTTCTCAAGAGAATGTCAAAAAATGCGGTCTCATTTCGATGGAATTCTATCTTGATTGTTTCGAAATAGAATGGGCAGAGACACGCTCATGGAACGGTTCAGAACGCTTTCTATCCAGATAGAGAACGATTATTGAACTGAGAAGAAAGCATTCCATACTAGTGTGGAACAGTAAAGAATGAGTTCCTTTACATTCAGAACTTTTCTTTTTGTTTGTGAAAACGTTCACTAAGCTGTAGAACACATTCTTCATGTAAAAGACAAGTCTCTACATTTTTATGAATGCGTTCTCTTCCGTTATTTTTAGAAATATTTTTCACTGGGACGTGATAAAATTAACCAATTTAAGTTGAGCCTATTACAATTCAATAACTTGTTACTTTAATAATACAATATCAGAATTTATACATAAATGAATCATTGCCTTAATATTATTATTTAGTGCTCAAATGTCTTATTTTGTGGTGCTCAAAAAACATATCATCGATCTAGAATTATGTTTTATTTTCATTAAATATCGTTTATTAATACTTTTTGTTTTTTTATTCATTTTCTCATATGTTTAATTTTAATAACTATTTAAAATTCTTAAACTATGAAATTTCATATCGATTAAACGTCTCGATCTTAGTTCGAATATGAAGAAAATTTTTTGAAAATCTTACTGATGAATTTAATGTTTTATTATCTTGTTCGTTTATTGTTAAAGTAGATTTTGATTTTCGACCTCGTTTCTTTTTCATCGATTGTTCATTCATATTTATATTATTATTTGATTGTATTATTTCATTTTGAATTTCAATTGATGGTTGAGAAATTTTTTCTACCGTATTTATTTGATCAGGTAATTCAGAAGAAAGTGATGATGATAATGAACGTATTCGTTTAGGATGTTTATTTGATTTTGTCTATATATATAAGAAAAATTTTTTTTTTTTTTTATAAATTTCATTTTAAAATTTACTTTTAAATCATTATTTTTATCAATAGAAACTTTTCGACGAATTTCATCTAATGTATTAAATATTAAAAAAAAAAAATGATTATTGATAGAAAAAATTTTTTTTTTACCATTCTTTAATTTTTTTTTATCAACTTTAACATCATCTAATAAATCACTAAATTGTTTAATTCGTTCATCTTTTGTCATTGTTAATGCCTTATCTGCTAATTCAATAGCTTCATCCCTAAAATTAATTATTTAAATAGAAAAATTTTAAATATCAATAGAAAATATTCTACCATTGTATACGTTTTTTCATTGAAACTTTTAATTGATAACGATTAGCTAATTCTAATTTTTCGGATTTTGTTGAAGCCTAACTATGAGAAATTATTTAATATGAAAGTTACAACAAAAAAAAAAAGAAAATATAATAATAGATCTACTTGTCGAACGGCTGTTTCAGCATTTTGAATAAAAGTATTTAAACCAGCATATTTTAATAATGAACGTGTTGATAACCATGCATATTCAAGATATTTTCCATAGAAATATACAAAAAATTGTCGTTTTGTTTTATTATTTGAATCTATACAGAATAATTTAAATTAAATTTTCATCATTATAATAATGATTAAAAATATGAGGAAATAAAAAAAAAATATATATATATTTTGATTTCAATCTATTCTAGAATTTATTTATCGGATTCTATATAACTTCAATAACACATGATTTATTTTCCAGACGTTTATATTTAATACATACTGAATGTTTTTGTATATATTCCACCTTCAGCATTGCATCGATACTAGAAAAATGATCAAAAAAACATGAGTGATCATTATTAAAACAATATTTAACATACGATAAGAGCTGGCCACCATGGAAAACTACCTAATTTTGACCAAACAATATCACCTGGTTCATATAGATCAGCACCAATTGAATTATCATCAACGGAATGTACGGATCTTGTTTTTATTTGTATTGATTTTTGTTTATTTGATTTAGGTGTCGTATCCATTTCAATTTCATTTGTTGTTGGATTTTCAAATATAAATTGTGGATCTTGTCTTAAACGACGTTGACGTTTTCTAGATGTAGATTCTAAAACTAATATGAAATAATCAAAAAACAAAAAGAAATTTAGATTTACCCGAAGATGATTGTTCTGTAGCCATGAATATTTTATCTAAAAGAAAAATAAAACGATAATCGAAGAAAATGAAAATATTTTTTGATTATATGTTCGATTAAAATCAAAAGTGAAAAATTCTATGTAGACTTCAAAAATCATCGAATTGAAAATTGGAAGATGAGAGTTCAAAAGATGATAACTTAAAATAAAGTTAATCGAATCTAATTCGTTAAGTAAGATATTTACTAACAAAAGTCTTTCATTTTTTATAGAACTCTCAAGTTATTAGCACTGAAAAGAAAAGTTCGAAAAATCAATTGACTAATAAACTCAGCTCATAACATTCAATCAATAGTATCTGAAAGTCTTCTAATTCAAGTAAAGATTCTTTTACTATAAGATAATCTGTAATTTTTTTTTTAAATTTACAAAGTTTCAATTTGTGCATATCGATCGAATAAATACTGCTATTTGTTTGTGTAAACGTATATTTTCAATAAGAAAAGCTGAGTCATACTTGTGGTTTTTTGTAAATAACTAAGCATCTCAAAAAAAGAAGTATTTTCACTAATATCTCTCAGATTGGCATATTTCGGAACCAAAACTTGTTCATTGGCAGCAATATCTTTTATGGTCATGTAAAACTCGCGTCGAATATCATATTATCATGTCTAGAGATGTGAAGGATTAACTGTAGTCTCGGTTCCGGAACTAAAGATCATAATGAAACTAGCGTGAGCCGGTGTATACTGCACGGTTGTTTTCTCCTTTAACATATGACCTCAGACATTTAACTTTTCATCCGGTAACATAAATACACACACTCAATATTATGTATATAGATAGTTAGCTACGACTTCATACTCTTATATCGCACATATCTTTATAGTCCATGTAGCCTTCACCCTTATGTCCCTTGTAGCCTTATATTCTTATTGCCGTACTCCCGTCAACGCCTATGGGTACCCCGATAGAGTAGCCCCTCAGGAGCTATAAGTATCCCCATAGGATAGCTCTTGACGACCTATGGGTATCCCCATAGAACGACCCTTGAGGACTTATGAGTCCCCCATAAGTAGCCCTTGGGACTTTTCCTTATAGCCGTATTCAACCTTTGACTTGGCACAGAGAAACAGACACTGAACATTATATATATATATAGATATTCTATAGTTCTAAGCGAATTATCTGATAAATCATATCAATAAGAATATCATTCAAGAGAAATAACCCCAAAAAGTACTATTCTTTCTAGAGCGGAACCGGAACCACTAGAAAAGAAATTACCGAAACTGGAATTACAAATAGATATGACAAAGACAGCTCCGATCCGCTCGAGTCTTATTTCTTTTTTTTCGTCAGCACTGAGACTGAAATTAAAAAAATAACTTCTAAGTTCATTTTTCTCTTAAGAATAAGCTAAACATTATGAGATTTTGATAATTGTCTCATAGTGCAAAAAAAAAATATATATATATATAAAACAAGATACTTTTTGTTTCATCACTATTTCATTTCATAATGAATACAAATTTCTATAATGAAAATCTAAATCTATTCTAATGAAGAAAAAAGAAAAATTCTAATGAAAATTTTGTTCTAAATTCATATGTGCATGTAATAATGTTGCTAATTGCCATTTTTTTAAAACAATTTTATCACTATTTATTGGCATTAATGTTTGTTTAAAATCTTTAAACCATTGTCGATGTTTAAGTATAATTTGTGGATATTTTAATAAAAAATCATAGAAAAAATCATTTTGAACAAATAACATTCGATGATGATAATTCATTAAACCAATATTAATAACATATTGTTCAACATGTAATTGAGCATCAGTTAATGTTAATAATGTATTTAATCGATGATTAATTAATTCATTAACAAGACGAATTTCTTCATAAAGTGTTAATGATGGAATACCTACAATAAATAATAAAACAAATATAAAGTTTTCTTTTTTTTTTTTGTATTAAAAATTAATTAATAAAAAAAAAAAAACAAAAACCTTTATCTAGAAAATGACAAATAGCAGTTGTAAGTGATACGGGAGTAGATGATGTTGATGTACTAAATTTTACAATAACAATATCATTATCTAATTCATTTTCTGTTGGTATAAGAAATGATTTTGACTAAATACAATAAAAAATTGATAATAAACAAAAATTAAAATAAAATAAAATTATACTTGAATTTTTGATGTTTGATCAATTTCATTTGTTTCTTTTCGTATTGAATTAAATGAAAATGTTCTATTAATTTTTTCAGTTGTTATTGATTTATTTGATAATGAATCAGTTATATTATTTGATACTATTTGTTTATTATTTATAATCGATGATGAAGATAACATTTTTGTTGGTTGTATTTTACTTTCGAACTATAATAACTTACTTGCGATTGCTGTTCTTCTTTATCCATAGAAATACGATTCGACAATACTGTTGATTCTTTTCCTAAAGATAAAAATCATAAATATAGATGTATTGATGAATAGCGATTGAAATAAAAAACAATAGTAGAAAACTTATTGGCAAAAAAAAACCTAAATTTTAACATCTCGAAAAATTAATTTAGGATATTAAAAATATTTATTTTTATGTTCCGGTTCAGTTGATTATCTTACATTTCTAATCATAAATTTAGTGATTAATTTTATTACCTTGTTGAGGTATTGAATATTTAGTACCAGCTAATAATGGATAAAGCATTTTTTCAAAAGCATTAATACGTAAATCAATCGGTAAACCTAAAATTTCATCGGCTTCTTTGATTGCATTTTTCCTAAAAACTCCCCAAAAAAAGGTCTAAGTATTAAGAATATCAATAAAATATACCATAAAGGATGTAATGCTTCTGAGATTTTTACATTAAATCTTTTTCGTATATGTTCTTCTGTTCGTTTTGTTGTTGCCTTATGAAAATTTAAAATATTATTCAAATTATAAACAAAAAAATAATTACTTGTTCAACTCGATTTTCTGAATAATTAATAAATTCTTCGAAACCTTTATATCGAAAAAGACATGTTTGATGAACCCATCCATGCTAAAAAATTACTAAATAAATATAGTACATTTTTATCTAGATTAATTACTTTGAAATGTGAACCCAAACAATAAACAAAATATTGTTTTTTCGTTGGTAATCCAGATTTTGCTATGAAAAAAAAAAAATATCAAATAAATTAATTATTAATAATAACTTACATATTGGTTTAACATATTTCCAATTATCCAAAAAACAACCTAGATTTTCAATATCATATCATAAGAATATATTTTTTTCTTCAAACTAATTTATTACCGTAAATAAATGATGGCCACCTAAACAACAACAAAAAAAAAGAATATGAATTTCAAATAGACTAATTCTAGTCATATTTTTTATTATTCTAACGAGGGAAGGCCACCAAGTGTTCCCTCGCTTTTAAGTCGGGACTATGTGCATCATGTAGTCCCTAATGAGTTATGAATACCCAGAAAAGAGTTCGGGCTAATATCTTATTGCTGATGAGATATTGCATTTTTACGGTATTTTTTATTCGAAGGCTGTGGTACCCCTCAGGAACACGAGGAAAACTGATTTTCGAATTTCGACTTGAAACTTTGCACAGAGATAGGACTTAATGGGAATAGTTTATTATGAAAGTTTCAGATCTTTTCGTTGTCTTATCCAGAAATACGAACATCGAGTCTTCTCATGTGTATGAGCGATGTAAAAGGCACACTTTTAGCATAGCCGTATCTTACGGTAGGAACAACGAAAAGATCTGAAACTTTCACAATAAACTATTCCCATTAGGTCCTATCTCTGTGTAAAGTTTCAAGACGAAATTCGAAAATCAGTTTTCCTCGTGTTCCTGAGAGGTACCACAGCCTTCGAATAAAAAATATCGTAAAAATACGATATCTCATCAGAAATAAGCTATTAGCCCGAGCTCTTTTCAGGATATTTATAGCTGATTAGGGACTACACGATGTACATAGTCCTGACTCAAAAGCGAGGGAACAGTTGGTGGCCTTCCCTCGTAAGTTCTACTACACGGACTAGGCTCTAATAGAAAACGAACCTGTCAGTTATGTATAACTCTAAGTCCGATACGATTTATCAAAAAAAAAGTTCAGTTTTTGTTTTAGGGCTGTTCAATAGTTGTAATTTCTAATGTAAATTTTACCATGAAAGTCCATTTAATTTTGCCCAAACAATATCTCCAATTTGAAATTCATTTTCCAAAATATCAAATATAGATGATTCTAATATATTATCATTAGATAGTTTACGTTTTAATTGATTTTTATCTAAATAATATAAAAATTAATACTTATTCATATTATTAATATAATATAATACATTTATCCGATGAATTTGTCATCTACAATAATATATATATATCAAGAAAGAAAAAAAAATAGATTGATTGTTCTTTTTTTTTCGTTTACATTCAATAAAAAAAAAAAAGTCAATTTAATAGATGTACAAATAATACGAGATAGAGATGGAAAAAAGAGAGAGATTATTTCTTTTGATTTTGAATAATATCTTTTATTTGACATTGTTTTAAATAAATTGGATCATCTTTTATTACTTCTATATCTTTATTAAACCAATGAGAATATTTTAATATAATATCTGGATGATTTAAAAGAAAATCTTAAAAAAATAAAATTAATAATAAAATTTTTTGTTTTTTATTATTAAATTTACCATAGAACCATTCAATTTGTATACATGACATATCATAATGAAAATTTTCTTTTATTATTTCAATAACTAATTGACAAACAAATGATAAAGCTTCATCTAATGTTAATTCTTCTTGTTTTGAATGATCAAGAATATTATTTACTATTTTTTTTTCATCTTTTTCTGTTAATATAGGTAAACCAACATGTAATAATGTTATTGATATAGACTAAGAAAAAAATAAATTAAATTTTGTATGATTATTTTATTTCTAATTTCAAAATTAATTTCATTAAATCACTCGAAAATCTAAATTTTAATAGATCAAAAAAAATTAAGATAATTTTTATGATCGTGAAAAAATTTCCATTAGATATCATATGCGCATCACTCATATATTCTAAAAATTTACAGTAAAATTAATCCTTTTTTTTTTTTGTAAAGTTATTGAACAAATCAATGTGCAGTATAGACGAAACATAAGTTAATTTAAAAAACAAAATAATAAATCACTAGTATATAACTTCTCCGGAACGTTTTATGATAAGATTAAGACGAACAGATACGTTATTTTTTTCGATATCTGAAAAGTATTATCAAATAGAACAATATCTAAATTTTCGCTCATCGAACATCTTGTTATGTACGTTATATTAAGTAATTTTTCTTTAGTATATAAAGTTCTATTACTTCCTTTCTTCTTCCGGAATACAAATACTAAGACCAATGTATAGGTTAAGGGTACCCCCCTCCTCTTTTTTGACCCAAAACTCGATTTTGGGCTGAGCTCAAGATATAATAGCCTGAGATGCCATGTGCAGCTAGAGACATTATTTGATTCGAAACGTCTTACTTTTACCTATTTATTAGATGGAGAAAAATTTTTTTTTCATAGTAATCATATGTAAATTTTTTTCTTTTATTTAGCGTTCTGTAAAACAGCGATTTTCTAGATCTTGACTGCTTACGACCCCCTTTTTAATTTGTCCGATCGAGCTGAAAATTTCACAACTAATACTTTGAAGTATTCTCCAGAGGTAGAATCAAGCGTTTTCATTTTTGACGTTCCTGCTCGGAGTTACCGGGTCGTGAAAGTCAAGATCTGAAGCACAAACTCAAATCTGGGCGTATTTCTCTTATAAAAATAAAAAGAAAGTGAGATTTTTGGAAATCCTTATATTTATCTCTGGGGAATAGTGTTAGGCATCTATAAGCAAAATTTCAGCCCAATGAGACAAACTTCAAGGGGAGTCGTAATGTGTCAGGATGCGAACCTCTGGAAAACCAGAGTTTTCAGGAAAATCCCGCAAAAAGTTATTTAAAATTTTTTTTCCTCGGACACGTATCTCTTTATTTTTAGTGCTCTATCTGTGCTAAAAATTTCAGCTTGATCAGTTGTACCATCTTCGAGAACCAGCAAGTGTCAAAAAAGAGGGGGGTACCCTTAAACAATTTTTCTGAATCTGGAATTAGTTTTCTCGGAATAAATCAATCCTTATTGTCTTGATAAGTAGCTGACTTCAATAAACTTATTCTCAGAACATGTGCTAGTTACAGTAATGTATCATCTAGTACAACGTATCTGTTCTTCTCTAAGAGAACCTTTAGATCAACTTTATAATGATCTAAACTTATGTAAGTAATCAATGAACTTCAAATATACATTAACGATATCCAATAGATGCAATGCTGGTTTGATTAAAATATTTTCTAAATGCAAAACTATCATTTTCACATAATGATAGTTATGTGATAACATCTCATTCAGAAACAAAATTAGAACTTACTATTACATCTTATTTATCCGGGAAGCTCAATTTTTATTTGAATTTGAAAAATGGGTATTTTCTTCACCAATAATATATCATCGAAAGAGTTTGTTAATTTAGTTCCGGATTTGATAGGTTCCAGTCATCTAAGACATATATAGGGTGCGCTAGTCATCGAATGCGAAAAACCTGGAAAAAGTTATTTTGAAGTGACAAATATACTTCAATAAACTTTAATTATCTTATTTCTGGAGGAAGGTTAAGTCTCGACTATTCTTAATTATTACCGTTGATTTTGTTTTTTGTCGTTTTACTGATGAACGTTTTGAAGATTTATCTGTTGATGGTGATAAAGTTTTTCTCTAAAATCGAAATTATTTTCTTTTTATTTTAACATTTTTGTTTTTTTTTTCGTTTTACCGATTGTCGTCCTGTAACAGAAGATTGTCGTTTTCTTGTTGATTTATTTTCTATACAATTAAAATAAATTAGTTTTTCTTTTGCATATAAATTAAGTTAAATATTACTTTCAGCTTTATCTAAAATATTTTTTAATAATTCAGCAAAATTTTCTATACGTTGTTCACGAGTTAATTTAAGTGCTTCATCAGCTTCTGCAATAGCTTTATCCCTAAAAAATATCAAAAAAAAAAAAATTTTTTTTTTTTTTTATTAAATTAAATATATGTATATTTACCAATCAACTCGTTTATTTGCAGATACTTTAAGTTGATAACGATTTGCTAATGTTTCTTGTTCAATTTTTTTTGTTGCCTTAATTAAACAAAAAAAAAATTAAATGCAATAACAAAAAAAAAAATACACAAACTTTTTGTACAGATATTTCAGCTTGTTTAATAAATTCATCTAAACCAGAATAGGCTATTAATGCATTAGCATTTGTCCATGTATATTCAAAAGCAGGACCAAAAAAATAAACAAAATAAATACCTACAAAAAAAAAAAAGAAAACTTGTGAGATATTATAATCAAAAAGAAATTATTACGTTTTTTTGGTCGACGAGGAGTTTTAACTATTTTTGTATGAATATAATCTTCATAATATGAACCTAGATGAAGAATATTATTATTTTTTTTTTTTGGAAAATAAATAATATTTATAATTTTACCATAAATAAGTGCAGGCCACCATGGATTTCCTGAAACATGAACCCAAAAAATATCACCTAATTGAAATAAATCTGGCGGATCTTCTTCATCAATTTCAATTTCATTGATAATTAGTTTATTTTCTTTTTGTTCTATATTTAATGGTTCTGATTTTACTATTGATAAACGACATGATCGTTTTGATCGACGATCTATAATAAATAATAATATTTTAAAAATTTGAATTATTTAATGATTATTTTACTTGAAATTTGTTCATCAATATTAATATTGTCGACCATTATAATATTGAATGAATTTATTTTTAAAATTTTCTCATCAAAAAAAAACTTATTTAGTACGTTTTATTTTCTAATAGAATAGAATAACTAACAAAGCATTTTAAAAGTAAAAATATTTCATTGGTTTATTTATTTAATCAATGAATTTTTAGAAATTTTTAATATATGTATAGAATAATAATTTCATATGAAAATTATTTTTTTTTATATCAAGAATTAATATTCAAATTAAATAAAACAAATGTGAGAATTGATTTGAAAATAGACTTATCAACTACTGCCATCTTTTGTATCATGTTCTATTCAATGTCTGACATAATCTAAGCTATTTTGATAGAAATTCCTCATATATGTTTGCTATAAGTTCAAAATTCTAAATTTTTAATGGTCAGTCTTCTCCTCTAAAATTATCTTATGAATCGTTTTTGTATCGATTAGCTCTCTGACCTGCTGTATATCAGTTGTATCATTATCTTATCTTTATTCTATTTCATTTTATACATCCAACAGAGATGGTCCTGGTCATTGTAAGTTAATGTTGTTTCTTTTCATTACGAGAATCTATTCAAAGAATAAAGTTCTTTATTTTTATGTTTCTATTAAACATCAATGATTTCGATTACTAAATCAATAAATAATACCATATGAAAATGCAATACAATATATTAGATGTATTATGTAAAAAAAAAAAAACAAAATAAGTACGCTATTACAATAAAGTATCAATTAGTAATACATGTATATACATTGATATTTATTGCTTAATTATTAAGATTGAGAAGAAGTTAAATATTTTATATCATGAAGTTTAGTATGAAGATTTTATTTTACAACCATGAAAATTCATTCAAACTTATATAATTCTTTGAAATACTCGCAAAACCAGAAAGAGATTTGATAGGATGTTTATCATTTTCAACCAGTTAAAATATTACAAATATTTGATTACTGATAAGCTAAGATACAAGGGCAAACTATTATTCAATGATAATAAGTATAATAAAGTACATATTGATTGTCGAATCGTTTTTATTAATGCAAAGAATCAATACTCTTTCCTTGCAATGCTAGATACGTTCAACAAGATGGTGTAATGATTAAAAGCAACAGATTTTTGTTTTCGGCAATGTTAAGTACTTAGTTCAAATCCAAATAGGGATTTCAATTGCCAATGGAATTTTCTTTTACGAAGATTTCTAAAATTCGGACATAGTAGATTTTAGTTTTTAGAAGCTATTCTTTAACAATGCCATTTGAAATAGTACAAAATGAGAGATCATTGCATTTTCTACTACCTTCTTTTTAAAGGATACTATCAGATAAGATCGTAAATCTGCAATTCAGTTTTTTTATTGTTTTGTTGATGCGATCTATCAATTTTGCACGTTTTCGATAATAATCATGGTTACCATATTTTTTTTTCTTCTGCAAACTAAATATGAAAATTAATAGTATAGATCGATGTAGTTTTTCATGTTACATTAAATAACATATCAATTTATTTATGCATAGTCAAATAGGAACGATATTGTTGCTATCTGATCTTGTATAAACAAATCGATTTCTTATGTAATGGAACATGAAAAAACTACGTCAATTTATACTATTAGTTTTCATGTTGAGTTTGCAAAAAAAAATGATGGTTACCATAGTTATTATCGAAACTACCGAGCACTGATAAACCTCATAAGACTACCTAGTCCTTGAAAGTTCTTTTTTTTTGTTTGCATTCACCAAACACAGAAATGTAAAGAATTTTATGTTCTATCTTTCTATTCGATTGAAAATGAAGCCTAACGCGAATGGCAGATTGAAGGTCTTATTCAGGGGTACCCGTATTAACGAAAGATTTTAGAAAATACGGTGACCCATCATTTTGCGCTCTTTAACCTTTCAGACGCACTGTACTTTATAAAGTTCAGTTGTGTTTCAAGTATCTTTGTTTTTTGAATAACTGGCAAACGTGACATGATATCGAAGTACTATTTTTTCTATGACATAGAAAAAACTTCTGTGCGTACATTTATATAAGAGTTATCTTTCTCATAAGGTCACTCATTTAGTAAGCTTGACATATCTCTGGAATATCATTGTTAGGAATAGCTCTTAGTAATATTCCAAAGGTTGCTTCGACTAGAGTTCTCAATCGAATTTTAACCTACACATGTACTCCCTCTCCCCCAATGATAATGACCGAAGTATTTCTTCGCCATCTCTGCAGGAAAGTACGGATGTAGAACGGAAAAGAAATGACTTGAAAATTTTGATAAAAATATCAACAATGCATACTATTTATATTAAATATAAAATCTTAAAGAAATTTCGTTCATTGATTGAGCTATAGTCCTACAAGAGTTGAAATGATATTATTAAAAAATACTCTCTGGGACCTAAAAATTATCGTGTTTCATTATCATTATAGTTCATTGAGAAAATCTTTGTATTAAATATATTAGATAAAACACTTCATCGGCTATTAAAATCATTATCTGAATTTGAGTTAAACAGTTAAAATTAAAGACAAAGATAAAACAAATATTGTTCTTAAATTTTCTTTCATCATCTTATATTTTGTAAAATTTATCATATTTTAAATTCAATATGGATAAATATTGTTGCAATATAATATATTGTAATTAGGAGCGACTCTTTTACTTTCTTCTTAATTTCTTTTAAACTTTCTATTCATAAAACGCTATAGAAAATTAGATTCACGTTTTTACAGCATGAAAAACAAAAAAAAAACGCAGTTTTTCGACTTTCTTTTTCTTTTCTTTTCTTTCAGAACATAAAAGTACCACGCCTAACTGGAATTTTTCTATACAAAAAAAAAAAAAATCATCTTTAGAATACCAGATGAAAAAAAAAACAAATTCTTTTCAATGTTATTTTCATCATTGAAAAATAAGATTTATTTCAGATAAATACATTAATAAAATGCTAGGACCAGTACATTTTAAATTCATTTTTCTTATATCAATACTTATTTTTATGGTTTCTATTACTGGTTTAATAATACTTATAACTATTTGGCATATGAAATTAACACCATTTAAAGATTATGCACTTGTTGTTGATGCTGGTTCAACACATTCAAAAATATTTCTTTATACGTAATATATTATTTCAAATATTTCATTTTTATTAATAAAATAATTATTTTAGATGGCCTGCTGATAAATCTGATGGTCTTGGTTTAACATCTCGAATAACTCAAGTTAAAGCTTGTGATGTAGATGGTGGACCTATTACATCAATTGAAGATCCAACAGTAACTAATACTCAACAATATTTTCAATCGGCTATGTCCGATTGTATTAGTAAAATACCATTAACTCGTAAAAGTCGAACATTTATTTTTCTTGGTAAATAAATAAATAAATAAATAAATAATTATTGAATTTTGTTTTTTTAATAATATTTTTAATTAGGTGGAACAGCTGGTCTTCGTTTATTTGAAATGCAAAATCCAATTTATACTAATAATTTATTAAATAGTACACGTACTTATTTTAATAGTCTTGGTGTTCATTTTACAGTACCAGAATATCAAGTTCGAATAATTAGTGGTAGTGAAGAAGGTTTATCTGGTTGGATATCAACAAATATTCTTATGGATGAATTATTAAAAAATAATAAACCATTAGAAACATATGGTGTATCAGATATGGGAGGTATGTTAATTATAATATGAAATTATTTGAAAAAGAAAAAAAACAAAGATTCTTTAATTTTTAATTTTAAGGTGCTAGTACACAAATAAGTTTTGTTTCTCCAAATGCTATAAATGATCGTTTTAATATGAATCTTTTTAATACAGAGTATGATATATATTCACATTCATACTTATGTTACGGAACTGAGCAGTTACGTCTTATTTATCTCGGTCAACTTGTGAACAATGCAAATGGATCATTGTTAATCAATGAACCATGTTTACAGAATGGTTATGTTCAAAATTTAACATATGATAAACTATTTAGTACACCTTGTGCTCGAGATCAATATGCACCATTACCAAGTCTTAATAAATCATCAATATTCTCATTCATGTAAGAATATTTTTGCAACATTTTTTTTTAAAAATCTTTAACTACTTTACTTTTAGAGGATCTGGAGATTTTTCACTATGTTCTGATACTGTAAAAGAACATTTAAATAAAACAGGTTGTACATCAACAACTTGTAGTTTTGATAATGTCTATCAACCAGTACCAATTCCAACATCAACAAAATTTATTGCTATTTCAGCATGGTATACAACATTTAGTAGCTTAGCTCCAAATATTAGTTTATCACCTAATAAAGATGGAAATTATGATTTTAATTCAGTTAATTTTAGTCAAATTAAAACAGCTATTTCTTCCATATGTAATCAACCATGGTCAGATATACCAGAACCAAATAAATATCGACCATGTAAGATAAAATAATAATTATTTTAATTTATTTAAAATTTATATTTAATATATAGTTTTATGTTTTAATTCCATGTATCATTGGACATTACTTGAACATGGTTATTCAATGCGTGATGAAAATTTAAAAAATTTTCATATTGTAAAATCAATTAATTCAAATGATATTGGTTGGACATTAGGTTATATGATAAATCAAACAAATGCTATTGATCCTCAATTTCGACCTAAACGTTTAATAACTAAAAATGAATTTGGTGGTTTATTAGCTTTATGTTCGTTCTTTTTGATTGTTAGTGCAATTATATCTATTATTATAGCAATGAAATATTATAAACAACGTCGATATATACAATGAAAAGAAATTATTTATTTTTTTTTTTGACATTAATCAAGCTAATGATTTGTTATTGTGTTGTTTGTTTTTTTTTTTCTATATTTAATAAAAATACTGTTTGTTTTTTATTTATTTATAATGTTTAGGAGATGATTTAATGTATTCAATAAGTGTCATATTAACTCGAAAAGATTTTTCATTTTTATTATGATTAGTTATTTGATAATATCGATAATGATCAATGATCATTTTAGATAATAAATATCCAATAAATAGTAACATAGGTTGATTTTTATTTAAACAATCTTTAATAAATTTTTCTTCAAGCCATGAATGATAATCAGTCCAATTATTTTCTTGACTAAGAACATTCCAAAGATATTTCAATGCTCTAGATTAATAAGAAAATATATTTTAGACTTTTTTTTTTTTTTTTTTTCTATTTTTAAAGTAATTTATTTACCTATAAAATTTTGGTTTTTGTATACGAAATATTCGCCATGCTTCACGTAATCGAAAAATAGATGGATGATCAAAAGTGGCTAATATAATACGAATACTATGTATATCATGATTTTTAATATATAACTGTTGAACAACCTATTATAGATGAGAAAAATCATTAAAATATTGATTCAACCGATAGGAAAAATAGTTAGTCGTCGACTTGGAAAAAATTTTGCAAATATGATGAAATTTCTCTAATGTTTTCCTATGTGATAATAATACACTTCTATCCTCCTATATGATTCGAGTCGGAAATAAATCTTCACAATAGTGTGATACTTAAACAATCGATTATCTTCTTACTGCCATTCTACTATCGTATACCGACATTTTTCTCTGAGAAGCAATTTACTACAGACATATTATCAGTTCTCAACGGTACCACGGTGAATCGACGATGGTGAAACTAAACGTGTAACATAGAGTCCATTGTAATTTAAACTAGACAAAAGTTGTCGGTAAATAGTCCGTACAAGGTACGCTCTACCGGCAGTATTTGCTGATATATCTGCAGTAGTGTGAACAAGCTTACGACATAGATTAGATCGATTATTATGGATTACCGTATTCTTTCATATATACGGCTACATTACTGACTCTGTATCGAATCGGTGTTTTACGACCGATTTTAATGAGAATAAGACACATATATGATTTTCGTATCGTATGTCACCGAAAAATACGAACAATCGTTAACATTGTCTTGAATGTACAGTTTTTGTTTTTCACTGATTACAAATTTTTTCTCATCAATTAATGATTAATTAAAATAACACTAGTTTTCCAATTATCTATTCTTTAAATATGCGAAAAGATGTACTGAATGAGAAGTAACATAAATGAAGATATATTTATCTAATTAATTGGAGTTTTATTCTGTTGTTATTGATAGGAAGTTTATTAGTTATCATTGCTACTATGTATAATTTTATTTCCTGATAAATTTATGGAGTTCATCAAATATTCTATAATATATTTTAATAATATCAATAGAATATTCTTTTTTTAGTATATTTAGAAATAAATTCAATCTTTTTCAAAATACCGAAAATAAATGAATAATAACAGATGCTCTTATTTTATCTGTTTTTTGTCTTAAAATTTGTGTAGCAAATAGAGATACTGTTCTATCATAAAATTCAAGCATAGACGTTATATTTGGTGCTAAAATTTTCTATAAGAGAAAATATTTAATGATTATATTATTTATAAAATTAGGTTTAACCTTATCAGTAGATAGAAATACAAAATTAAATAATTCTTCTGGTTTAATATGTAATAAAAAATTTTGATTAATTAATGTAAGTTCATCGGCAATATCTATTGCTGAATATTTTCGAATATCATGTATATCAAATTTAAAGTCAAGTTTTATTGGAAATAGTGAACGTCGAAGTTGTTTTGATTTTATAGAAACCATATATTAACATAAAAGAAAAATTTCATATTCAATATAAATATTCTTTATTTGGATTCATTGAATATATATATATATATTAGTAAAAAGAAAGAAAAATCAATAATTAGCGCTGAAAAAAATGATCGAGCATGAATATTAACAAAAGTATTCAAACTCCAGTTTTCAGTAGCCGAAATAATAGAGCTTCGGATATATTTTTGTTTGATATAATATAGGACTAAATTATTTTAAAATTCGTTATCGTCACAAATAACTCAAAAACATGCATGAAAAACAGTATTTAGTTTCATCAAGATTTCGATAAAAAAATCAGAAAACTTGGTAAAGATCAACCAAATTCTGGGAAACTTGAATAAGTGTCTATGTGATTTTATTTGCTCCATATTGCGATATGAGATGATAATCATATGTGTCGTACCGTCATGTGTAGATATGAAATCTCTCTATCGGAAGCACTTGCTAAAAACGAAATACTGTTTTCATGCAACTCTCGAATATTTTGTGAAGATGATGGGCTTTAAAATAAGTTTGCTTTATACAATATCAGCCAAAAAGACGTACAAAATTCTCCTCTATCGATTGCTGAAAATCACAGACCATTAGCTGTTACCGTTATCGAGCTATTGAGCTTAAAACAATCTCTCATTTATTCTGATCAACTGTCAGATTGAACTCATATTAATGTCAGGCCGATGTAGGTTTGATGCTAAAACCAACAGATGCGTTTTTAATTCATTTTCTTACGTTTTCATAGATGTAACCAGTGATGAAAGATCAACATATTGAACATTGTACAATATTCGTTATAATAGAATGATTTGAACTAAACGTTTCTGCTGTTTCAAGATATTATCTTCTTGATATAAATGATGGCTATTTGTAATAATAACATTTTCCAACTAATTAACTATGTATTTTGATTTGATTAGGAATGTACCAATATTATTACATAGAAGATAATGAAGTGAACCGAGAAATTTTAATGTTTAATTGGTCGTTGTTTCCAATTTTTTTTATTAAGAATTTCAAAAAGAGAACAAATTTTTGTATTCAATTATGCACACCATCATTTTACAGTTCTGCCATTTCTTTTTTTACGAATAAATTTTTTTAAAGACATCAAAATTCAGTAATAAAACCGAATTTTTTTACCTTGAATTGGTATTCTATTAATAAGAGCATCCATTAGTAATAAGATTGAATCTATAATATGAAATATCATCTATAATTGAACATCGCATGGGTTTTTCGAAATCAACTCATTCATAGCCATAATCAAAAGTCTTATATTTTTCATGTGAATATCGTCGAATAAGTCTTACAATGATTGTGATCAGTGATAAAAATGCGCTTTCTTTTTATAAAATGATCAAGGTTATGGTATTATTAGATAGTTCGTCAATAATCATAATCTAAGAAAAGAAATGAACATCTACGAGAATAAATTTTATGATAGGAACATGAAAATATGAGGTGTCAGTAGGAAGAAGAAAAGTGATGACGATTAAGAGAGTCAAAATGTAAAATAATTAAAGAATCTAATTGATGAAACAGTGTTTTACTCATCTGTATTAGTGCTTTCTTCGTTACTATTTCAGCAATACAACTTAGAAATTCTTATTAATGACAAATCATTCGAAAAGAACAGATTCGATTGAGTAATTTCGATCTGTTTCTGTACATTGACGAATCTGTTACGAAATTATAATGCCATCGTGATATTTCTTTCCGAGATCAGCATGTTTTACATGCAAATGTCAGCAAGATGACTACGTTAAATCATCAATGCGTTGAATTCGAACAAGACACCATAACTTCCATCAAGTTGTTCCAACACCAACAACAATTCTTTAAGAGATTCTTGTTCTCTTCAGAAATCGAAATACTTTCAATTTACAGATGAATGTCAGCTACATTTAACAAACTAATATAAGTCCATTCTCAATTATATTGAAAAGCTATTGAAAGTACAGAGAATCAGTATATATACCATATGATACTTTATCTTAGTATTTATCTATTATTTATGATTGTAAGTCTTTGAAAAAGGCCAAGCTAAAACACGAATATTACCCATGTTGTCAAAAGAACAATAAATTTGAATATAGGTTTGATGAATAACGTTTATTTTACTTTGAAATTACAGCTTAAAAATCGTGCTCAAGCACTTTGGAAATTCAGCGCTAAGAAGAAAAAATTGTGAAATAACGTTTTCATGCTCTCTTATCCGATAAATGGCGATAATTGATTACTTCTTTCTTTCTTCCTAGTGTGATTCTGCTCCTTATTCTGACTAATATGTTTAACTATATCGAACACCATCATCAATACATTTTCAAAATCAACGTTTTATAATACAATTGAATAATCAAAAATAAAAAGAGAAACTAATCGTCATAATTCTTCGTCTATCTAAAGTCGTTCCTTATATGCAGATGTCCGTCAACTTTGAACTTTCTCGCATTCACACAGACAGTCATATCATATGAATTATATTAGTTCGTCTACCAACAATGTAATTACACCATCTCAAATGACATTCAATATAAATCAATGCAATCAAATAAACTTCCTCGTGGTCCGAAGACACATGGTTATCGCACACTACTTTGTACAACCCCCATGTGTCACTCCATGACTACATTTTTGCTTACTCTTCGTTCCTACTAATTGTCACTTCCATGAAATTTCTATCATAACATTAGCTACCTTCTTCTTTTTCTTAATTGAGTCGTAACTGTGCAGATCTGTGTCATGTTGACGACAACTGATTATAGTATAGCATAGCATGGCTAGACATTATTATAATTAATGATTGCAATGCAGACTTTAAACAAAATGCAACGAATCAGAATATTCGTCGTTTGAATTCTAGGTTGAATTTGATTAATACATTCTCTGTTTCTGTTGCAATTTATTATCAACTAGGTTGTTATCATCTTTTATTTTACATCAAGAAGTTTTTTTTAATGAATAATGTGTTATTTTTCATTTGAGTTGTTTCAGTATGATTGTGATTACGTATTAACCACACACTCACACCCAACTTTTTACAGTACAATTGAATAATAAAATAGAATGAAAAATTAATCGTTATAAATATAAGAACGTCCTTTGGTGCGCTTGTGCGTTATTTCTCAACCTTCACGTATACAGAGCGACACTCACAATATACGCCCCACATCTGTTAGTCTACCATCCATGTAATTGCACCATCTCAAACAACACTCAACATAAATCGATGAAATCAAATAAACTTCATCGTGGTCCGAAGACACATGGTTATCGCGAATTAACTTAATTTGTAAAACCCTCCATGTGTCACCTCATGACTACTTTTTTCTTTCTCTTTCTGTTCCTATTGATTCTCTTTTCCATTGAGCTTCTGTCATTACATTGGCCAACTTTTTCTTTTTCTCAACTTCAATCGATTGCAAGACGTCAACTCTCTGAAGGGTGTGGGAGTAGACATGCAATTTGAGGCTGTTTGATCACTAGCCTTCTAATTGTTTTAATGTTTATGTCGTCTATACCAAGGATCATCGTCAATACTTGATTGACTATCTAGAAAATGTGCAATTCTATTCAAAATTTGTAGTATGTAATGAAGTGTCCTTCTCTATAAGCTGTCATCGTACATTCATGAGTATTGGTTGGGAATTGGTCCTCTAGTGCTAGAAACGTTTTTCACTTAAGGATGGTCAAATTTAAAACAAATTCCTATCGGTATATACAGAGTAATCTAAAAAATATTGCTATGTGTGAACACAAATGTTTAATCAATTAGAGCTCATAATGTCGATAAATCAAGGACTGTGAACTAAACACAGACGACAATATCAATGCAGCAATGCTTCTTGTCATTTTTTAAATACAACTAGTCTTGGAGGTTTTTGAAACGACCCTTATGATTCCTTTGCTTCTATTTTGTTATGCATCGATTTTTTTCGCTCTTATCTATCTCTCACTCACTTTGTATGTCAGTTTGATTAAAACACACACATATATATAAATATATATATA